CCATGATCTGCCAATGGAAGCAAATGTCACAAGGCGTTTCTTGTGGCTCCAGTGGTTGGGCCGTTGCCTCAGGCCTGCTGTGTGGCTGTCATTAGGACTTTCACCCTAGGCTCAAGCCTGTCTCCCACATCCTGTAACTAGTCAACCTAGGAGGGCAAGGAGAAAAAACTGTCCTTTATGTCCCTCTGACCAAATTAGTATAGGCCTCAAAGTATGTCTGTTAAACATCCAAGAAGGTTAGTTCCAGGCCTTTGACAAAATTCAACATGAATTTATGTTCAAAGTCCTAGAGAGAAATGGACTGGAGGGAAAATACCTCAACATAGTTAGCGCCAAATATAACAAACCCACAGCCAACATTCTAAATGGAGAAAAACTGGAAGCATTCCCATTAAAATCAGGAACCAGACAAGGCTGTCCACTATCTCCACTTCTCTTTAACATAGTGCTTGAAACTCTTGCAAGAGCAATAAGAGCAGGAAATTAAAGGAGTAATAATTGGAAAAGAAGAGATCAAATTATCCCGTTTTGCAGAAGATATGATATTATATCCAAGAGAAGCCAAAAATTCCACCAGAAAACGCCTAGAAATTAACAAGTTCAGTAAAGTGGCAGGTTACAAATTTAACCTACAAAAGTCTGTAGCCTTTCTATATTTCAATAACAAGCAATCAGAGAAAGAGCACATGGAAACACTCCCCCTCACAATAGCTGCAAAAAAAAATAAAGTATCTTGGAATAAACCTGACCAAAGACATTAAGGAGCTCTACAATGAAAATTTTAAATCTTTAAAGAAAGAGATTGAGGAAGACATCAGAAGATGGAAGGACCTCCCATGCTCATGGATTGGAAGAATTAATATTGTGAAAATGACCATCCTACCAAAAGTCATTTATAGATACAACGCAATGCCAATCAAAATCCCCATGACATTTTTCACAGAATTGGAAAATACCATCCTAAGATTCATAAGAAAGCACAGAAGACCTCGGATAGCCAAAACATCCCTGAGCACTAAGAGCAATGCCAGGGGGAATTACTATAACAAATTTCAAGCTGTATTATAGAGCTAACATAAAAACAACATGGCACTGGCACAAAAATAGACCCATAGATCAATGGAACAAAATTGAAGACCCAAATATGAGTAAACGTAATTTCAGCCACCTGATATTTGACAAAGGGGCCAAGAATATTCACTAGAGGAAAGACAGCATGTTCAGCAAATGGTGCTAGCAAAACTGGATCTCTACCTGTAGAAGAATGAAACTAAACCCTATCTTTCACCCTGCACAAAAGTCAATTCCAAATGGCTCAAAGACCTCAATGTAAAGCCTGAAACTCTGAAACTCTTAGAAGAAAACATTGGGAAAACCTACAATATAGGTGTAGGAAAGGATTTTCTAAACCAGA